TCCATAAACTTAACAGATATGCAGGAGAACTAAAAAACTGCTTGTTTTATTTCTTCAAAGGTCACACTTTTTTTCCCATGACATAACAGTAAATAGCATGACAAAATGCCTTCAATATATCATAAATTATAGAAAATAACCATTGACTTTTCAAGATAGTTTAGGATATAAATACTTTGAGATTAATGTTGTAGATGCTCTTCAAATATGAGCAAGAAATATTGCCGAACTCATAATTGTTCAAATAAATCATGAATGTGATATAAATTAAAAATTAGAATGGTATTAGCCACACACAGAAAAAAAATGGTACTAGAATAGTCCAGTTTACTCATAAAATATATTGGGTTGAAATTGTACAAATCTGAAAACCATTGAGAGCAGACCTAGATGTAACTGAAAGTCTATTTAATGTTGTTCTCTGATTGTCTGCATATTATAAGTTCCCTGGCTCAGTGGAACCATCTTATAGATTAAAGTAATTCCTGAGCCCACTAGTGTGTTTACTAACTATCCAAATGTCTCTTAAAAGAAACAACAGCCGGGCGCGGTGGCTCAAGCCTGTAATCCCAGCACTTTGGGAGGCCGAGACGGGCAGATCACGAGGTCAGGAGATCAAGACTATCCTGGCTAACACAGTGAAACCCCGTCTTTACTAAAAAATACAAAAAAAAAAAAAAATAGCCGGCGTGGTGGCGGGCACCTGTAGTCCCAGCTACTCGGGAGGCTGAGGCAGGAGAATGGTGTAAATCCGGGAGGCGGAGCTTGCAGTGAGCTGAGATCGGGCCACTGCACTCCAGCCTGGGCAACAGAGCGAGACTTCGTCTCAAATAAATACATAAAGAAACAAACAAACTAGAGGTCAGCAATGTATGTCCCACAGCCAATGCTAGTCAGCCACCTGTTTTTATAATAAAGTTTTATTGAAACTCAGCTACACATATTCATTTACATATTGTCTGTGGCTTCTTTTGCCTTGTGACAGAGTTGGGTAGTAGCAACAAAGATATGTTGGCTCAAAGTCAAAAATATTTGCTATGTGACCATCTTCAGAAAAAAAAAATTGTCAACCCATTATAAACACAAAAAAACTCAGGATCTCTTCCAAAAATTGTGCCTCTTCTCCATTCCTACTACAATTAATTTGGGGGATTTATCTTGATATATTCGTATTACTGCATAGCCTCCACTCTAGTTATATGCTGCTGCATAATAGAATATCCCAAAACTTAGTGAGTTTAAACAAAGACCGTTGTATTATAATTCATCATTTTGTGGATCAGAAATTTAGGCAAGGCTCAGCTGAATGATTCATTAACAACAGTCAGTCATCGGAATTCATCTGGTAGCTGGGCCTGTCTTGAGGGTTTAAGGCAGCTTTACTCACATGTCTGGTGCCTTGGTGAGCAACAGCTGGAAACTGGATTCAGCTGAGCCCTTTTGCCTGCCCCATATTCTCTGGGCTTCTCCAGATGACCTTTTTCTGCAGGATAGTTAGACTTCTTATATGGCAATTCAGGACTCCAAGATACCAAAATGTAATCTCCCAGTCCCCTTAAAGACTACTGGTACAGTGTCACTTCTTCCATAGATCATCTGAGATTCATGGGGAAAGGAAATACACCCTACCTTTCAAGGGGAGGAATGTCAAGGAGCTTGTGGCCATCTTTAATCTGTTACTCCCTCCTAACTGGTCACCCTGCCTCAAATCTTTTTTCATACTCTGGCCATATATTTCTGAAATCTCAGTTTCATTCTATCTTCCCCCTTCTCAAAAACCTAAAATGGCTTCCTCTAGCCTATTTGATTTAAATTCCTGTCCCTGACATTCATAACCCATTATATAAAAGGGTCCTACTATAATAATCTTACAATTTTGCATTAGTCTCTGTTTGTTAATCATTAGCCTGTTTGTCATACATAGTCCTCGCCTTCCCCTCCCTGTTCTGTATCACAGGGAAGCTGACCCCTGCAGGATGATTTTCCTAGGCTCCTTATCAACTTCAGACTGGGCCTGGCAAATAAGAGACATTGGTGGGAGATTAGGGGGTGGCAGAAGTCAAGTTATTTCTCCTTCTCTCTGCTTCATACAGATCTCTGGAAATGATTGCATCTTCATTCCTCCTTTGCTCCAGATCCAGCTGGTTAAGCCTTCTCTAGTTCCATCATCCTCTGAGTGACCCTGGTTTCTGAGCTCCAGAAACTCTATATTCTCCCTTGTCATTCCAACCAAAGCATTGCTGGCAGCTTCCTTAAGTTGCTCATCTCTAAATTGCTATCGTGTCTCCTGTTCATCATCCCAGCCTTTGGTCACCTTTAAAATCAATTCCCTGTATTAAATTCCTTCTGTTTAAAATAAATTCAAGTAGTTTCTGTTCTGATTAGACCCCAGCTGTTCTCAACACAAAGCATCCACTCCAGGCCGGGCAATTTTGTACCTGGCCCTTCAGCCCCTGTGTGCCTGTTATGGTATTTCTGGCCTGGACCTCTGGCCTCATTCTTCAAAGCCCACCTCAAGCTTCATCTTCTTCAAAATGCCTTTAACATCACTCCAGTTTTTACTCATCTGACTCCATCATTCCTTGATGACTTTCAATGTGTCTGTCTTCCCAGTTTGTAAGTTCATTGAGGAAGCTTGTACTGGAATCGTATTTCCCAGAGTTCCCACCACAGTGCCAATGCACACAAAGCACTCGATAAATATTGCTTATTTGCTTCAATATAATATCTTCTAGGTCTGACTAGGGCTAAAATAATCTGTACTCCTGAATGGAGTGAATTTAGGGATGCTTTTTTGGGTTACTGCTACTCTTAAGTTTTCCCCATCCTGGATAAACATGTTATACTAGACAGGGAGAGACTATTTTTGTTTTGTGGTGGCAGATAGTGGGTGTTAGGCACAGAGTGTAATTCAATGTCCTATATGAAGTAGATATCAAATAAATATTAAATGAAAAGAAAAAGCCTACACCATAACTGATGGATTTGTGTGGAAAAGCCAATGAAAAAAATATTTAAAATGACACTTTAAAAATTGAAGTCTTTTTGATACTTTTATAAAGTACCATTAATTCTGGAATTAAAGAATAAATATAATTTAATCTATATATATTTAAATAAAATCATAATAAAGGAAAATGCCAGAGAAAATAAATACAAATTAATAAATTTAAAATCCAGTCTTTTATGTCTCACATTTCTTATGCCCTAGATCCACATTTTATTCTTTTTCCCCTGGTACTTTAACAAGTGCTGGAAACATCAGAGAATTCAATAAACATTTTAGTTGTTTGAAAATATCTAACAGATGATGTTCCTGCCATCTAGTTGCAAAATTGTCTTAAGGGATTATTTAGGCAAAATAGTTCAATTTGGGGATTTTGTTTCGCAAAATAAAATACTAAGAAAGTTTGCTACAGTATTTACTGTTTTCAAGTCAAAAAAACATGTTTATTTGGGACCAAAACATGGTCCAGTTTGAGTTCTTAAGATCTGCTATATGACTAACTAACTCAGCTTCTGGTATTTCAAGATGACATCAGAAGAAGCTTTGCCTTTTTTGGAAAAAAAAAAAAAGAAAGTATAATGGCCGGCTAATTTTGAAAATGAGTTTCTTCTCTGCTGCTCTTCTCAACCACAGAGACAGTCATTTGAATGCTTTACAGAAAAGGCCTCAAGCCTCCTCAAATTTCACCTTTTCATTGCACTGCTGATCATTTAGAGGGCAGACTTGTTCCAGACAGCTTTAATTAAACTGTACTGAGGATGCAGATAGATGTCAATGGAAATGATCCATAACATGAGACTAAGCATGTATTTAACAGTGTTCCATCCAGTTCAATCACCTTCTAGCATTTCCGTGGATTTACATTCATGTAGCAAAGACTGAATGTGTATATGTATTTTTTAAAAATCTATCTCATTAGTGGCCATATGCTTCAGCTTCAATGGATACAAGAGCTGTCTGCAATCTGCCAAGGATTTAGCAGCATCAATAATTTGTGAATAGTCATGTTGGTACTGGTCGAAGGGTTAAGTGCTCTGCACTCCAGGGGCATCTCTTTTGGGATTTGAACCCTTAGTTGACTGTTAGGAACCTTATCCCCTGTGAGGGTTCCTACTACATGCTGCTTGTCAGATGCATCCAGCTGTAGCTGGGAAGCATTATTAGCTCTGGGATTTAAAGATCCGTGTTAAGTACTGATAGAATGGTGTCTTTGACTTAAAAAGCAGGGAGAATATACTGTGGCAAACTCAAGGAGGTTTTCATGTTCCATGTTAAGTATACGTTCTTTCCTTTTGCCTATTCTTTCATCCACTTCTTGTGAAAAGATTACACAGCATCCTTTTGAGAAAGAGTTTATATTTAACATTTGTTCCTAGAACTTCCTGGTAAATTAGATTGCATCAGCCAAAGTTCCAAGATAAATGTCACTTTAAAATAAGAGAAGGTGCCAGGTGCGGTGGCTCATGCCTGTAATCCTAGTACTTTGGGAGGCCAGGGCAGGCAGATCGCTCGAGGTCAGGAGTTTGAGACCAGCCTGGCCAACGTGGTGAAACCCTGTCTCTACTGAAAATACAAAAAAAATTAGCCAGACATGGTGGCGGGCACCTGTAATCCCAGCTCCTCAGGAGGCTGAGGCAGGAGAACTGCTTGAACCCAGGAGGCAGAGGTTGTAGCGAGCCGAGATCGTGCCATTGCGCTCCGGCCTGGGGGACAGAGCAAGGCTCCATCTCAAAAAAATAAAAATTAAAAAATAGTAAGAGAAGTTTTGATACGAAAAGCATTGCTTCTCATTCCCCTACCCAGAGAGTGAAGAACAGGTAACATGAATGATTTTTTGAAGTTTATCTTATGATACTAGTCTTGAATTAAGATTTCTCAAATGTAGTTGTTTTAATACCAACAGCAGCAAAGGTCATATAAAAGCTTTTGCAGCATGTGCTAGACTGTAACTTCATGTACACATAACCCTTGTCTGTCTTGTTCACTCTTATAGGCTTGGCACTTGGCACAGTACCTGGCAGATAGTACTTAATGAATGTCGGATGGATGGCAAAAAGAGACAACAGGGGAAACAGAAAGAATGAAGGAAAGAAGGAAATAGTTGGAAAAACAGTTTAGTTGATCTGATCTGCATGCAAGTATTTGGTCTCAGTAATATTTTCTAGAAGCTGTTCTAAGAGGATCTAGGGGTGGATGTTTAGCATAAAACATGTTTCAACAGTTTTAATGGATATGGATTTCTGAGCTAACTTACATTATTATGACCTGTTAGTAGTAGCAGCACTTAGTTTCCTTGTTGAGTAAAGGATGGGAACAATTATGTTGTGATGACAGATTTCCATCAGGTTTTTTTTTTCTGCCACATATGTAGACGTGACTTAGTTTTAATGTACCTGAATACTCTCGTAGTAAAGTGTATTGTGATTTCATCAAGGAGGGCAGTAATTATTAAGCAGAGGAATCTTTAGTCTTTGTCTCTTTGAATATCTAACTGATCTTAAAAATAAAGTGGTTTGTCTATTTGCAGTTGATTTTCTACATGTGTTTATTTCCAGTAATTCCAGCCTTCTTACCCTGGAATAGTTTAACCCATCTCTTAATTGTCCCTAGCTGACGTCTAGAAGGTCTTTTTAAACTTCTTAACTGCACGGCAAGCCCTCAGTGGACACCTTGATTTTGTCTGTTTGGGAAAATGCCAAGCACTAATGAGTATTTTGTTTAATGTAATGGAAACTGAAAGTGCATGGCTTCTTCCCTGACTGATCAATGCCCACTTCTGTTGTTTGAACATATCTGTACATTCTAAATTCAAAACGAAGGGTCACAAGAGGGCAGAGCACTTAGTGTCTGCCCAAGGAAGGACTTGAAGATTCACAAGTTTTGTTTATTTGGGCCCGGTATAGACAGACAGTACTGGAGTTAGTACTCTAGGCCTCCTCCTCTGTGCTCAGATATGCAATTTTTATTAAACCCAAAGTCCGTAATCTTAAACTTTTTTGTGTTAATTTAACAAAATAATAAGGGAATGAATTATGTTGTTGAATTCTAAGCCAGGCAATATCTACTTGTAAGAAGTTACCCATTTTTTATTTCATCATTATTTTTCATAAAATATTTGGTATATATTTACCTTATTGTTTGCTTTTTCTGAAGTTCAAATCACAATGTGTCCAACACAGAATTTTAAGTAAATAATTAAAGCATTATTTCTTAGTTAAATAAACAGTAATATTTGCTGAAAAATGAAATCTTAAGCAATTGAGTAGGCAAACATGATCAAGTATGTTCGAGTGAAGAGTAACGATTTCCATGTGGTACTAACATTCTGCACAGAGACTAAGTGGAAAGTGTAGAAGATGTTTCATTGAACCATATCTAGCTGAATTGATACAGAGCTCCTTTCGCTAGTGTTTGTAATTTATAGACTTCTTGTATGTGCTAGATAATTTTCACGAGAAAAGATTTCCAGCCATTTAAAATTTTAAATGAGATTTACCTTTCATCCAAAGTGTCCTGGGTTTAGTGATTTCATTAAAGATCAATGGAGATGATAAGAAAAGTTTTGAATCTAAAAAATGGAAATAATTTCATTCCTCAAATTCAAATTTAATGACTCGCTTTCTCTTTATTTCCAAGCCACCATCTTGCTCGATCATACTATCACCTTCCTTTGGAGACTGGAAATATACAAGCCTCCCCAAATTACAGTTTATAATGGAAAGCTCCCCTGACCCTTAATAATTGTTACTTTACTGAAACACTGTAATATCTAAACTAAGTTGCTTATTACACCAAACATGAAGTCCTTTGACCCTTAGGGTTCAATATTGATCAGCCTCACTTTTGTCAATATCACCTCTAATGTCAACATTTCAATGTGAAATAAATTCAGTAAAGGATAGTCTTCTTAATCCACACACATTAAAGATGTTTAATTCCTATTCATTACAAGTTTCACCCAGTTTAAGAATTGTTTCTTCCATACTCTCAGTTAATAATTGGAGACTGGGCAGCATTGTAAGTATGTGGTTAAATGTCATTACAATAAGAAGTTAGCTGTAAGATAACCTATACCGAGGACTGGATTCATGGAAAATAATCTCTGATAAAATTACTCCAAAGGAAACTTGAAGCAAATGTATTACAAATTCATCAAACGTGACTGAGATATTTTTTAATCCTGAGATCATGGAGGGAAATGCTTTTAAAAAGAATATTCAGGTGCTTGCTTTGCCCTTGGATAATGCAATAGAAGCTTGTGGTATTTTTCAGATTGTCAAATGTGTATCAAAGAGTTATTCTCTTGGCAAATTCCATGAATTTCAGTTCCATTTCTTGACAATTTAAAATTTGATTATCCAATTATAACTAAAGGTCATCAGTCTAATGTGGCAACTTCATGACAGTTTTAGTTACAAAAGAATTTCTCAGTTTAGAGAGGAAACTGCCATGTGAGAATTTTTTATTGAACTTTTAAGTTGGATGGTATTGTGAAAAGAATTTTGTTTTCTTCTTGTGCTTTTACTATTTATTAATAAAAATATATACTTTTTGCCCTGCCCCATGTTTATATCACATGCCTCACCTCTCTGAATAACATTACCAAATTAACAGCAAGTGCTCTCTGATATTGCTGATATTTATCATCATTAGATTTTGTCTTAAATGTTTATTTAGAGTTCCATTTCTCTGTTTTATTTTTAATAACCATAACCTGAATATCATTTTCAGAACTAGAGAGAGTCATTTTCATTTCAATCATACTATAAGTAGAATTTCTGCCAAAATGAAAAACCAGAAAAATTGAGGACATGGCAAATATTTTAACATTAGTTTTATTTGATGTGATGATGGAAAATTCCTCAGGCAAAACATACCACAGGACCAGACAAAATGGGTGCTGAGTGTCAGAAAGATAGGAGAATCTTTATCCACATCTCACCCCTAAAGAAATCAACTTTGCAGTGGTAGATGAGTTTGTTGAACAGCTGTTGATTGTGTACCTGCTCTGTTCAAGATCAACAGTGAAAACTCATTGTTTTTCTGTTTTTGCATCTTAAGAGTTCCAGACATTGCTGGAAGCCCAGATGGACAAGATGGTGCCTGCACTGCTTCTCATATCTGTGACCCATTTACCTAGAGAAGAAATTATCCGTGCAGCATGCTGGTTAACACTTCGATCAACAAACAAGAACTCTACCACCCTGCTTGAGGAGTGAGATCTTCACTCTAACTGTTCTCAGCACAGCCTCCTGGTGCAAAGCTGGACTAAGTATTTTAATATTACACTTTGCACCTCTTTTGTTCAACAGTAAGACCCAAAATAAACCTTTCTGCCTAGGTATGAACATCTGTTTTGCTTCAAAGGTTCAAAAGTATTCTCTTCAACACAAACTCCCTGACCTCCATGCTTAGAGCCACGTAAAAGTCAATTTCTTCTGAGCCACTTGTTGAAACTTGTAAATGAACTGATTTTTCTGCAATTGTGACTTATCAATTGCATCAGCATTATCATTTCTTGCCCACTGGCAGAGGAGTTATAGTTGTAGATGGGAGTCATATCAGGCATTCTGTATGACTTCCTTGTCAACTCACTTCATTCCATGTGGAAAGAGACAGGTGTACACTAGAGCTTTAAAAATCTATTTAGAGACACAGCATCTAGCAAAAAATAATTTTTTTCTATGTAGCACGTTGTTGCTTTTACCCACTACTGTGCTATGCATGCATTGTACTTCCATTACCTTACTTAATCTTCATGGTAATTCTCTAAGGTACAGGGAGATTAAAAATGACTTAGGCAAGGTCACTACAAACTAGAGAAGCAGGACTTGAACCTCGGTAATCTGACACCAGAGTTCTTATTCCTAACCACCTCATTTATACTGATACTCTAAGAATTTCCTTTCTATAACGAAAATTATGTATTAAATATTTTAGATTTATTAGAAGAATAAATTCTAAAAATATAAAAACTAACTCTTGGCCAATATGGAAGCATTTTATTAGTGTACTGAAGATAGTTTGAGATCAGAAGCATGTACATTTACTTCTAATTTACAAGTTGGTATATGGGAGCAGAAAATGTGGTAATAAGAGTTTTTCTGCCTTTTGAGACATTCAGCCCATTTTTTCACCAGATAATTGTAGTGAGCTGTGTATTCTGTAGTGTTACAGCTTACCCACCATAGTCAAAAGTTTCTGTAGAGCTATTTAAGTAGATGTGATGAGGGTTTGTTTTAAGTAAAAGATGAATGTGACTTTCATTATTCCCTGTGATATATAAACATGAATCAAGAAAGGTTTCTCTTGAAACTTGTTCAAGAATTGGCATGCATTTCCAATTAATCTCATAACTTATATTTAACTGTTTGGCTGTGTTCCATAATTGATGGATGTTATTTTAATTCAGACACAGAGAGGGAGAGAATGCCCAGACTAGACAACAGGGTATATGTCAACTTTTAGACACATTTTACTCTCCCAATTAATCTATGTTTTGGCCCCATCACAGTTTGGCTGACAAGACCTCTCTAAATGACCATTATTGTCAGTTCTTAACAAATTGCAAAAATGACTTTTCCTAAAAGATCCATCAAATTGGTGACAAACCTTGCACAGGGTAGGACATCCAGGTTACTGATTAGCTTTCAAGAATGGACTCAATAGAAAATCAGCTAAGTCTTCAGAAAAGATGGACTTAAAGGAACATTTGGCTGATGGAACCCAGTGGACTGGGAAAGACAGCACTTGAAGTCTGGGTAAAGGTATGAAGATGAAAGTGAGAAAAGCAGATAAAATCATAAAGTAAAGAACTATTGAGAGAATAAAATACATATATACTTTTTCTTCTTCATTGTCTGTATGGTAAAGTCCAGGTCCCTTCACACAGCATTCGAGGCCCTTCACAAATTGATGCCAACATTTCTCAACTTTATCCCCTAGCACTGTCCCCTCTGTTTCATGTCCTGCCAGCACAGTGTGTGCTCTTCCCAGTGACATGGCACACCCATGTAACAGTGCTGCTGAACTTGCTTTCTCCTCTGCCCTCACTTCATTGACTTGGAAAAGTCTTCGTTTTTGAACCTTCAATGTTACGTTATTTTTATGAAAACTTTGCAAACTCCCCCTTCCCCACCTCCACTCATCACACCCAACAAGAAGTAATTGCCTTTCCCCCACTCCCCGAGCTTCTTTCAGCATCTTCCTTATCATGTTGACATTTGCTAGGGGTCAAAATGCATAGTTTCCTCATCTTGGTACAACCAGGCACCTAGCATTCAATCCATTTTTACTCAACGACATTCCTTTTTAGTGTCCAGGTCGCTTTCCACTCCCTAGCTCCTTCATGATAAGTCTTCCTCCCTCACTCTTATTTTTAGAATAATAACATTATTCCAGTGCAACATAATCACATAATAATAACTAACATTTGTATAATACTTCATAAATTACCAATACTTTCAAATCTGTATTAGTTTGCTAGGGTTGCCATAACAAAATACCACAAATAGGGTGCCTTACACTACAGAAATTTATTTTCCCACAGTTCTGGAGGGTGGACGCCCAAGGTGAAGGCGCTGTCAGGTTTAGTTTCTTGTGAGGCCTCTCTCCTTGGCTTGTAGATGGTTTCCTCTCATTATGTCCTCACATGGTCACTCCTCAGTGTGCATACTGTGTCCTGATCTCCTCTTCTTATAAGGATATCAGTCATATTGTATTAAGGTCCACTCATATGACCTTATTTTATCTGAATTACCTCTTCAAAGGTGCTGTCTCCAAGTACAGTCATATTCTGAGGCACTGAGAGTCAGGACTTCAACATGTGGATTTGGGGCAGGGGTTGTGGGGAAAAGACACAATTTAGCGCATGAGTATCCATTATCTCGTTTATCCTCACAAGCAATAGCTGCAGCCACTCTGTGCCCTTGCACTGTTTTCATGGTGAACTTCAAAAGACGGCTCTTCTGCACCTAACTTGACTTCTTCAGGCCTTCATGATCTAGACCTCAAGTCTATTTATTTGGGAAAGGGGCTTTGTTGCTTAATGAGTGAATACAACAATGTGTCAAAATTCTAGAGTTTCTTACAGAGTTTACATTGTCAATAGCTGAGCCTCATTGTCAGTAGAAAGAGAAGAAAGTGCTCCTTCCCTAGCACTGGGAAAACAGGAAAACTAAATTCGTAAACAAAACTTGGTTTTTGCAATCATTCAAAGCCTAAGTAAGGGATTTAAAGGTACATATATTGGGCATTTCAACTGACTAGCCTAGTTAAGAATGGAAACGGGTACCTACTGCCTTGTACAGCTGCCTATTTTCTGACCCCAGTGCCCACAAAGCACTCATTGATGTGAATGACTCCTTTCATATGAAAAAAACAGTGAGGCTGGTCTCGAAGTCCCGACCTCAGGTGATCTCCCCCCCTCGGCCTCCCAAAGTGCTGGGATTACAAGCATGAGCCACCTTGCCTGGCCTTTCAAAAGGATCTTAATGCCAGGCCAAAGCGGGGAGCACTATATATACTACAGTATGACTGAGAGCTGTTTTAGAGCCCTGCAAAGTTCCCCCTTGTTAGCATTTTTAGTCAAGGGTATGAAGACACTGTGCACTGCAAGACTCAACCCGTTTCTGATTCCTTTCTCATAAATCACTCTGATACTATACCCGGAAAAAGCCATCACATGCCATCCAATGCATCAGATGCAGAACTGCATCCGAGCTGCAAGCGGAAGGCACGGTAGATGCGACACTGACTGTGACCTGGACATGAAGCTAGTGCAACCTCAGGCCTGCCTTGCTTCAGAAGGTGGGTAGCTATGTCTTGTCCTCTTTACTCATACGTTGAAAAGTGGGGAAACAATGTAATGGCTTGATCATAAGGTCCCTTCTCTCCAATCGAGAATTATTTCCCTTCCTTTTATAAAGTGGGAAAATTTTAAATCCTTCTGATGGGTAGGGTGATTTTTGAAATGGTTTGGGAAGGTAGAGGCTGCTGATTCTGTGCTTCTCTTTTTTCTCTAGGAATCTCCCTCTTCTCTTTTTCACTTCCTTCGACTTTTAATAGAAACAGTTTATATTAATATGGTGATGGCACTTATGTGTATAAATAAATGCAAACAGCTATTAAATTTTCTGAAAGTAGCATCACCATCTTTTTACACAACTTGTGCTAGTGAGTGTTTTTTCATCATAATTTCCAAGTTCAGCTGCCAAAGAGCATTTCCCAGAGATCTTTGTGGTAGTGTAGGCATCCAGCACACGATTGCGAGAAACCCACAATTGAGGAAGAGATCTTTAAGATTTGAAATTTGAAGAATTTTTGCCACTAAGTGACAGACCCTCATATCAATATTTAACTAACAAGGTTTTCTCTTAGAGTACACAAATACATATTTGATTTTTGATTCTAAACATTATATATATGTGTATATATACACATATACACACATATATATGAATCAGTTTTGTTTTTTTATTAACCATGCCCTCTTGCCAGAAGAATTTAGAGATCATCAGTATCAAAATTAGTCTATGCTGATGACTATTCCAGCATCCAAAACACAAAAGTATGTAAGAAGACCCAATCAGTGCACAAAGTTGTAGGTAGTTACAGGAAAGTGAGGTTTTGTTTTGTGTTTTTTTTGTTTGTTTGTTTGTTTGTTTTTGAGATGGAGTCTCGCTCTGTTGCCCAGGCTGAAATGCAGTGGCACGATCTCTGCTCTCTGCAACCTCCACCCGCTGGGTTCAAGCAATTCTCTGCCTCATCGTCCCGAGTAACTGGGATTGCAAGTGCCTGCCACCATGTCCAGCTAATTTTTGTATTTTTAGTAGAGACAGGGTTTCCCCATCTTGGCCAGGCTGGTCTTGAACTCCTGACTTCTTGATCCACCTGCCTCGGCCTCCCAAAGTGCTGGGATTACAGGCATGAGCCACCATGCCTGGCCTAGAAAGTGAGTATTTTTTTAAATGAGCCTTGATTTCCCTCTTGCATACCAATGTAAAAATACCAATTAGCATCTTTTTTCTGGATCTGTGTTGTTTGTGCATATCTGCCTAGTAGGTCTCGTATTCTTTCTCCTCCCTCTCCTCACAGCACTTCCTGCTCTTTCCCTAATTGTTGGGCAGTAAGAGAGATGTGCAGATCAATCTACATGAGTAAAGCTTGCAGAGAGCAGAAATAGATTTACTAACTTTGATGATGGCTTCTAGTGACTCCTTACCATATACATGACTGGGTCGCCATAAAGCCACCTGAGCCGATCACCTTAATAGGTTAAAAGACGACATTGAGAGATTTTAAGCAGAAGTGATTTCATTTTCTTTCTCTCACTAGTTACATGGTTAGC